AAAATTTACAAGTGTTGATTTATGCTATCATTCTCTATCGTTCATAAAAGTCAGAATAACAATAAGTGAATTTGTAGTTTGATATCTTATTTGCTTTAGTTAATAAGATAATGACTGAATACATAGGTATCATAAACTAAGCACTCATTGTTTGCATGTAGTTGACTGAAAATTTGCTTATCAAACAAATTGGAAATCATTTTCTCTAGCAATAACAAGTAGTGAACTCATCAAGCTATGCTTCCGAATATATGTGAAACTATTTTTTAAATTCATAAATCCATAGCTTCTTTTCTTTGAACATATAAATATTGGTACAAAGGGGCACCAAATACATATGCACCACACAAATCTCATTTGATATGTGTGAGGGCTGTGATACTGTCAGGGTACCCAAACCGAAGCAGGTAGTTTTCTTAGGGGGTCACACACCGAGCCTTCGACCTGAAGGTCTGATCCACAAGGCAGTGGAGCATCATAAGGAGATGCAGTCCCATGGTAGCCGGTGACCAATAATTGGTTCATACGCCATTTGTTCCCTCAGGGTACTGGAGCCCATGTGCACCATTGGTTTGGAATCACGGTTTTCCGACTCCCCTAGGTGGACTCTCCATGTTCACCAACCCGGTTAAAGTACCGGACATTCGCTTTTCGTCCTCTCAATTTCGTAAACAACACCCTCGCCATGAGAAGGTAGTGAGTAAGACTTCCCTAGTAGTGGCTGTATACGCATGGCCATGTGAGAGCATTTCGAAGAGAGCTAACCCAACTCACTCTCGACCGTACCAGGGCATTCGGGGGCACATGCATAACTAACTGACATATTCACTTATCATTATTTTTCTTGTTTTATTGAACAGTTTCATAAAATGAACTAACCGCTAAAAAGCTAAAGAAAATTATATTTGTTTCAGACGGCAATAAAAAGTGGGAAACATTTTAAAAAGTTAGACATAATTCTAATCAAGTGATACATTATCAACCATCAAAATCACAGAAGTTAACATGAATCACTTAAATACCATATAAAAATCAGTAGTATAACTGTGATTTTAAAAAATCAATCAATCTTATTATTTGAATTAGTGAATCTTAGGTGTTTACCACTTGCTGAGAATATTCGTTATATAACAAGGATAAGTTGCTATAAAGAAATTCATTTGTATTTGGTATGATTCATGTATATGTACAAGAAAGACTATTTTATTCAATTGAAACAAACTGATAATTGTATCAAGCTGATTATATTACAAAAAAAGTCGATTATTAAAAGCATAATTATCTTTTTACAAATGCTTGGAACTTTACTGGTGTACAATAAATATGATAAGAGTAAGCAACAGCATAGAAATTGTCAACAATTATACCAATCATACTTATATTATGGTAATACTAAACGATGTCCATTATATAATCAACGAATAACTCCTATAGAATAACTGAAAGAACTACCCTTCTCTAAACTAAATGATCACACTTTTCACAGAACATTCCCAACTATGATAACTAAACGTACAAACAGCAAAAGGATTGCTCTATGTGCCAAATATTCTTATCATCAAACACATGATATATTATTTATAGACATCCACAAGTCAGCTAAAACGTAGAACCAGGAGCATATATTCATTGGTTCAAGTTGCCACACCTCATCAGCACAACAAGATGATCACTGAATTCATAGAAGTAGTTACTTCAATGGTAGTAATATATAAAAGAAAGACTGCAATTGATAAATCTTCAACTGTTAAAAATTCAAGTATATTTTCAACACTGAAGTCTAATAAAGCAAAGACAAAAAATCTGACACAATCTGAAGGTGCTTCACAAAAAGAGAATAATATAATTGATAAGTTGAAAATTATTCCATTGAATGAAACGATTGAAGTAAATAAAGATGACTCCACTGAATCGATTGATAACAAAGCCCAAATGATGAACAATTCTACAGATACAACAATGAAAAATCATAATAAGGATCAGGTTGTTGACGTATATAGCCAGAATAGAATTGTTGCATCAATTTCAAAAGAATCTCTTACGGTATCTGAAATGACAGTTTGGTAACATTTACATAACCTTGTGTTTAATACATTAATTGACTTAGATCAAGAAATCCTCCTATCGATTGATGCAATATCACAATCCGATTATTTTCAATCACAGATACCAGAGCATCATCAATTCAATTTATCAAATTTCAAGGATATAGTTAGTGATAAATCGAGAGAAACTATCCCTAATAGTGAATCACAATCGAAAGAGCATTAAGATAAAAGAAATTTGTGCGAGCTGAACAATTTTAGTTCAGTCATTGTACTAAAAGATATAGTCAGTAATTATCATCCACAACTTGAAACAAAAGTCACAATACCTCCACTAATTGTCACAGTTTATTTGAATCACTATCAGATGGTCAGGTGGCTGGACTCTTAATATGTGAAACATGTTCATAACCAGCATATCCGGCAGAACACCTTGAAATAAGTTAATGTCTTTCATTTAGTTTGCTTTAAATGCAATAATTGTGCTGGTATAATACACAGAGGAACATGGAATCAAAGAGATTAAAACTTTTATTGTAATCTATGTCATAGAAAAATAACAATACGAACACTGAGGCAATAAAACGTGTATTGATGTCAAGTTTTATTTTGAAAATTTATCAATAAACAAATTAATTTACTCTCATTATTGGATGTTACTTACTGATTCTCTTTGTTCATGTTCTCCTTGAAAACCAAAGAAAAAATTATATCTGTCGTAAAAACTATTCACAATACAGAAGGCCTTCATTGCTTAGTAATTACCAGTACGGTGATAAATCCCAGACTAAAAAATAATGAATGTACTCTTTAAACAATGTAATATCATTAGGGATGAATAACATTGGGATAGGAATCAATGAATCATAATTAGAAGATAGGTACTGATTAAAAACCATACTCCTGAAATGTTTAACATATGATATTGGTTTGAAGATAATTTACAACATGGATTGACTGCTGTCGACAACCAGAAGTTGTCAGTCAGTGATGTCAAACTGAATTAGTATCGCGTCGCAAGCTGTTTACAAAACTCAGATATTGAAAGGAAGCTACATAACAATTCAGCGGCTAATGAGAAATGTTAAGGTGAAGATAACTGACCACTTGATGGATATTAAGAAAAGAATAATTGAAAGTTGTAATAATGACTAATTGATAGTTATGAAAAATAATTGGGAAAGAGTAAGAAAAACGATAGACTATGGGATGCAGAAATGAAGGTTAAGACCATGGTAGAATGAGGGATTGATCAACTGCTTTGTATACAAAGTTTAGGCCTGATTCGGTAAATAGCTATAGCCTCTGATATATATATGTCCCCCATTTGTATCCCCTTTGAACCGATTATTCTGACCGTATGATTTCGGAGAATTTTGGTGGAGTGACCAAAATCAATTCGATGTAAATTACATAGTGCTCAGTTTGTGGAAACTTAGGAGACAAAGCGAGATTTCATTCATAATGAAATTATGTCTAATACTACCTATCTTACTAAGAAACTAATATTAAAGAAACACCATAATGGTTAAAAAAATGTAAGAATTCACAGCACTGTAATTACATTCATAATCAAATTGGTTCGACCTACAGTGAGTGAGAGCAGTTGACTTAACAGTATACCGTGAGCTGACTAGAAAGTTCGGTGAAACTAGAATTTATGGCCGATATTTGAGCGACGTTAAAGTGATCCTGAGGGTGCCCATCTAGTGATTAAGACCAAATGAGGGTTATAAACCTGTGTGAGGAATTAGAATTAGGATTTACGGTTGATGGTTAGGGTTAGGAATTAGATGTAGGGTTTTCATCACGAACTGACACTAGCCATAATTCTATTTAGCCAAATGGATGAGTGAATGTCGCGCCGAAATCCGATATCAGTTATCTTATACCTCATTGGTTCGCCGAACGTTCAGTTAAATTACTCTTAAATATTTAATGACATACCCAAATTTGAACATCAATTTTACAATCATTAAGGAACTGCTTTATGAGTGGAGAAATAGGGAGAAAAATATAACTAGTTTGATATAAGACTCCTAGCATATTTTGGGGCAACCACGTTTAACAGATATGATAAACACATGTGAAGAATGATTATTTACTAAACACAACCGTTTTGGGAGCTTTTATAGGATAAAACAAACTTACAAATAGTTGAAATGTTTTCAATCTCAAAGCAAGAATCCACAATACACACGAAGATAATGCTATAAAAGCACAATAAACCTAGAGCAATTTCTATTATACGACGGACGTTACATCTATGTAATATTATTTGACCATTTCCTTTTTACTCATAACTGTCTTCTATTATTTCTTGACGCAATTGACATGTGTTCTCCTTGATGCTTAAAGATTTGTTGTAAGTTGAATAGTCTTCAATGTAACATCTCAATTTTACCACATATGAAACGTACACCCACATATTATGAGACAAAAAGAATCTCTGAGCATGAGCCAACTTTAGATGGTTATTTTGAGACACTGAATTCTGATCTGATCCGTGTAAGGAGATATCGACTTACTAGTTGGTGTCAAAACTACAACCATAATCTATAACTTCAAACAATGAGTGGTATGGATTGCGTTTACGTCATTTACCGTCCTAATTTATTCCTTTTGAACTATATGTCTTAGTACTTCATTTTTCAATGAAATAGATCTTATCATTGTCACTTCTTTGCGTTTTCGACTTTGGTTAATTATTTATTTTTCTATGCTTTACTAAGGTGTGATAGCTCGGAGCGACACGTATTTATATCACGTCCCAAGATATATATAACTAACGTAATAAAAAAATAATTGACTAAGCACACCGATGCCTTTACTTTTCAACGTTTCGAAATCCAAATGAATTCTTAAGTGTCAAGTAACTAAAATCTTAGCTTACAAGATTTTTTCTAAGTTAGATCATCTCCCAAGTATATAAAATTTAAATACAAAAATAATGGTGACAATAACCTAGCATTTTTTATTATAAAACTTGTAAATCCTTACAGTTCTGATAGGAACTCTTTAATTTGTGTGATACAATGTTATTAAATTGACTGTCGGCAAAAAGTAAAATAAGATTCAAATTGACAAATGATAACATCTTTCGTCTCGAAACTAAACGATGCAAGTTGTTTAAGAGTGAGATTTACAATGAGAAACAAAATAAGCCACTTAAAACACCAAAATAACCGATAAATGAGATTGCCCTCTATCAATTTTAAAGACTGACATATAGTTACGAATAGTACACAGCATCAAGCTTGACTAACGAAATAATATTAAAAATAACTATTACAACCAGAAAATCTGAAAAAAGCAAGCAGGTTCAAAAATTTTACAACGATAATAAAAGTAATATGATATACACTTAAAAAGTATTTTTATGAAATTCCTTGAAACCACAATATTTTTCTAGAAAACATTGGTAGTTATGATTAAAAAAGAGATGTTATGACTCTTCCTCTCCGGTTTCCGAATTAATATTCGACAAGTTTACAGTTGATAGACCAATATTATCATTGTTTATCAAAACTGTCTCACTTCCTTCTACAGATTCTGAACTTGACTCAGAGTTTTGTGCGAAACTAATGTTCACTACTTCATGTAAGTTAGATATGTTATCACTAGCTGAGATTGGATCGACTACAGACTGACCAGAACTAGGATTTTCTGAAGCTTCGAAAATGCATTCACCAGAATCCATATCACGAGTTTGATTCGTAGGATTACACATAATAATGGGAGGAGAATCATTCAGTGCCAAAGATGATGAAGTCACAATCTGGAAACTAATGCCAACCTGTTGGAACGAAAAAAAGATTGATATAAATACGTTAGACAGTCTCAAATGCATAGATTATAGTAAGAATATACCTACTGAATGGCATTAACTTTGCACTTATGGCTAAATTTGAAAATGTTAATATTTTCCAGACTATTATTTTATATAATCATAGACTGAAATCTAAAAAATAAATCCTCTGAATTTATTTTTCTACTACACAAGTACATTAAAACAACTCATAAAATTTTAAATAAAAGATCTGAATAAAACAAAAGAGAACCGAGTGGTGAAATGAATCCAACTTTGTTCATCGGTTTTAAATGCTTATGATTTGTAGATGTTTTGATGCTACATGCACAGTTTTCCGTTTTGAAATGAAACATATGTTCATTTAATAAGAGATTATTTGTAATGGTAGTTGATTAATTAAACAACCTGCTTTAGATAATACACACATAGCAAGAACGATGTCATCTTCACAGCAACTATTTTTTCGATATCAGGAGAAAAATTACTGGGTGCGAACGGATGGCCAGCAATAACATTTCAGATTTGGAAACTAAGAATAGTTTAAAGATAATATAAATTAGGGTTCATAATCAAAAGTGTATAAACGAATGTAACAATAAATAATCTCAAGTAACTAATTATCACTTATTTACCATCATTATTTAAACACATAAACACTGATACAAGAAGGCACCAAATGCATACGCGCCACACAAATCATTCGATATGTGTGAGGGCTGGGATACTGCACCGGGAGCCCGAACCTAAGCAAACAATAAGAATTCGATGGAAAATATATCACCTTCGGAACTAGAAAGTGACATAATCTCAAACTTTTATTGGATTTATAGTTATCAAAACATCGTATCACAATTCACTGACCAAAACTTACTAATGAATCTGTACTAGATTCTACCGTTTCAGTTAAATCTGAAGACGGAAGTCTACGTCTTTTGGCGGGACTTTCCGACAAATCTGCATCCTTGCTTGTTGAAACATTAGGATCACTACCACTAGAATCCATTCCTGGTGAACGGGGACGTCTAACCCCAACCAAAACAGGTAAGAGTGAGTTAGATGAAGTAATTGATCCCTAGAAAATAAAAACAGTCTATAAATACAATGACCAGATAATTTTGGTAATGCGACTCTATTGTGTTTAAACCGAACTCAGGTCAGTAACGTCAGAAATAAAGATGGAAAATACATAATCATATATCCTACTTAGGGACTGATATTCTTGAAAACGGTGACGAGATAACACAGACATCAACAAGTTGATAAGGAGGACATCTTATGAATGCTAAGAAAAAACAGGCAGTTTGAAAATATAAACACGAAATCTAAAGTTACAAAAAACAAATGAGAGAAAATAGGTCTTACAAGTTATTTTGGGAGATTTAAGTAAATCTAACATGAATTTTTGGTGCTAACGAAGAAACTATCACAGTAAGAATGAAACTGAAAAATCAAAGACTTTCAAACCAACTGGAGTAATGTACTTTACAGAAATATTTATTAGGTTTCATGACCATACACTACAGTAAATTAGATCAACGACTTAGACTTTTAAGACTTGCTGCTGCGATTTTTACAATTGAGGATCATCAGAGATTCGAAAACATGCACTGAAGCTTTTTAGGTGACTATATTTCAAAAAGATAATCTGATTTATACGATATATAATAAGATAATCTTAGTCGGGGTTAAATCCGATATTTTACGAAAGAGGGAATTCACATAAACTAGGATGTCATCTTTCGGTCACTGACTCATTTTTTACCTAAACTACGATAATCATGCTGTCAAGAGTAGAACTATCTTCCAAACACATAAAAATTAGGAATATAAATTTGATTTACCTGGTGATTTAGGTCCTCCATAGATGATACACAACTCAAATGAGCAGATGGGTCGCTTGTGGATTTTGGAGACCCACTGTGCAATGGTACAGACGTTACTGAGCTAGAAACTTCAGAATTTAAATTTTGTACAAATGCTTCAAGTTGACCAATAGGTCTCAGAACTTGACAACCAGCCAAACCACTTTCATCTCCAGTTGTGTCGAGCTATAAAGTCAAAGCAAAATTTTGTCATCCACTAAACGTCACCGAATTCGAATAAGATTTAAGACGAACAGTGAAGTATTAGAATTCATAAACTTTCATAATGGATGAGGAATTTATTGCTTTTATGTGAATCCGAAAGCTTAAGACTTGTTAACTTGTTTCCAGTATTACTAGGGCAGGACACGAGCGGAAACAGATAAACTGTATAGAACTCTGAGTCGCTGATTAATTATATGTCTAACGTGAATACTGTATTATATTTTTTTATTTTAACACATAGATATTGGTACAAGGAGGCACCAAATACATATGCACCACACAAATCTCATTTGATATGTGTGAGGGCTGTGATACTGTCAGGGTACCCAAACCGAAGCAGGTAGTTTTCTTAGGGGATCACACACCGAGCCTTCGACCTGAAGGTCTGATCCACAAGGCAGTGGAGCATCATAAGGAGATGCAGTCCCATGGTAGCCGGTGACCAATAATTGGTTCATACGCCATTTGTTCCCTCAGGGTACTGGAGCCCATGTGCACCATTGGTTTGGAATCACGGTTTTCCGACTCCCCTAGGTGGACTCTCCATGTTCACCAACCCGGTTAAAGCACCGGACATTCGCTTTTCGTCCTCTCAATTTCGTAAACAACACCCTCGCCATGAGAAGGTAGTGAGTAAGACTTCCCTAGTAGTAGCTGTATACGCATGGCCATGTGAGAGCATTTCGAGGAGAGCTAACCCAACTCACTCTCGACCGTACCAGGGCATTTGGGGGCACGTGAATACTGAGGCGTGATCTTCGAAATTAACACTATCCATAAATTGCTAGTAATAAGACGTTTCCATCCAACAAAACAACATTCTAGACTTTATAGCATCGCGACTAGATCACTTAGGAGTTTCGTTAAAAAAAACTAACAATTCGCATCTGCAAGTGATAACTTGAATAAAATAGTGTTGGTGAAACCTGCTATATTCACTTAATATATTGCTACAGAGTAGTTGAAGATTAGCGTTCCCAAATTGATGATACATATATTACACAAAACTCATTTGGATACTAACCTCTAATCTTCTGGAAGGCGAATCATTTCGGTTTACATTGGAAACTGAAGGTTTAACACCACTGCTAGATACTTCATCTGGTTTATCACACTGAGCTATCGTGTCTTCCAATGTTTCCGAGTTGACGATTGGCATTTTAGTCGCCTCATTCCATGGAAGAGAATTATCTTGTATTTCATCTTGTACAACTGAAGAGAGTTTATGTGAAGCATCTGATGGTTTTTCTTGTAGGTTAGATTCTACAGGTAGAGCATGTAAACACTCAGACGACTCAGAGCAGAAGCTAGATCCAACAGACGATAAGTGATCGGAATTAACTTGGGTATTAGAATCAGTATGTTTGTTTTCTGACGATCGATTAAGTTGGTCGTAATCTTCGTCATTATTAGAGTATGCAGAGAGAAGACTACCACACAAACCCTACAAAAGAAAATTTTATTAATTTTTAGAAACATTATTATAACATTTACCGTGTTTCATGTAGAAATAAACTACTGCTTGGCTAATCATGTATTTAATTTGTAACCTGTAACCTAGCTCTTACTTGATCATGATAGTCACATCTACACAAAGTTTATACGCTTAAATACATAATCAAATTTGAACTTTAACCAAGGAAAAGGTAATTTCATGTCTAAGGCGAATGAGATAACTACACAGCCCAAAAACTTACACTGAGTAAAGGAGCACTTGTTAAAGACTGGTCTGCCAACCTGGTTTTGGAAACAGAACTACGAAACGGCATTGGAGGAGTGTGTGGAAGATTCAATGAATTTTGTGCTTTGAAAAGCCACGAACTTGCACAAGAGTTGTTCATTAATGGATTTGGATTCATACTATGATCAGCTTTTGGTGATTGTCGTTCATCACTCCCATCACTACTATTATCCTCACCTTCGTCATCTTCTTCAGTAACCTCTTCATCTGAGGACTTGGAAATATGGTGTACTTGAGGATTCTCAGGAGGTGGAGAGGTGGGTGGTGAAGTAATAGAACCCTCTATTAATAACCCACAGTCATCCAAACCAGCACGACTTGGGAACCTGGGATCTTCTTGGTGAATTTTGCTGAAAACAATGAATATTAACTAAAACATAAGGTTAACAGTAGAGCTAGAAGTAACATTACTTAAATTTGTTTTAATAAGCTTTCAGCACATAATCTGGAGGATGAAGGAAGCTTCCGAGTACATGATGATATTTGTTATGGACTACTGATTTCCCTTTCACCGTAATAAAACCATAAATTAACATCAACCAGTCATTACAGACAGCCCAACCTATTTATATTATTGATAATTTAATTTTAATGCACTACGATGTGGCAACACGGATTAATGCGTATTTGTGCTAGGTTTCATGGTGTTTATGATTAACTCACTGACTCGACTGATATACAGCAGAAATCTTGGATCAAATAGTTTCAAATTTTGCAACAAACGCAAATAAGTATCGACCAATGTTGATACGAAACAGCATTCAAGTTATCTCTAAGACAATGTTCGCACAATCTATGCTCTAACTTATTACCTTGAAAACCCAACTTTAATGTAGAAAGCCGGACGAGGATAAATGAGCGTACTGGTGACAAATATCTCGTCAGGCAAATACACGACACGTGAAACATCCGCACCACTTTGATGTCAAACATATAATGGTTGAGGCGGTGAAAGAGAAATGTTGTTAACATAAGTTGCATAACCACGGAGCTTTATTGCACCTCAAAGCAAAATGAATAGTTTTGATATCACAACCAATAGCAAATGGGATTAAGGGGTAAATCCAAACAAAATAAACTCAACTGGACCATGTATTTGTTGGTGCAGTGAAAAATAAACACTTATGTCGTATAAATCGCCTTTAAATATCAAGGATCTCATTTAGTGTCTTTCAGAACTTTCGCATACAATTATCGTAAAATTTACCATATATTTACAAAACTATTTAACTCGTTCGACTAGCTAGGCATAAACTGATCTCTCGAACGAGTATCTCTAGCGGAAGTCTGTTTCATCGTTTAAAAAGACCGATTACGGACCCTGATGAACTAAGAAACTATTTAAAAAGATGATACATATTTGGTCTTCACTACTTTTTTAGCAATAAATCCTTAGTTTTGTCATTGGCCAATCTCAGGACCGCTAAAATTGTTGCTCAACTCCAACAGTATAACTGACTTTACCCTGACAACATAAACTGGAAAAGCATTCAACAGAGCACAGCCTAGCACGCAAGCCTCTGATATGATGACTTGGACAACTCCGAAGACGGAATGTAGACACAACTTCTACTCCTTAAGAGTTGTCAAAAGCTGGAATTCGCTGCCGGCCGAGCTAGTCCAAGCGACTTCTCAGGAGTCCTTCAAGAGGCAACTTGACCTATTCTTAAGGACCAAGGACAGCATCACACTATGATTTACCAATTTCTTTTCCTCTTTTATTGTTAACATACCTAGGTTCCTGCCTGGAGGATTTGGTGATCCCCTGCTACTAGACACGGAAGCCTGTTAAGCGAAAGCTTCTTCTATTCCGTCCACAACCATTTGAACGCAATGTATTGTCAGAAATATTGATATAATGTAAAAGTCACACGTGAACTTACTTTCCATAAGGATCTACTGTGGATACCACCATACAAACCTGCAACTAATGAATTCAATGTACATGTATTACCTTCTCTAGTCCTCTCAGGAACTTATCCACTCTTTGGTAGTGACGAGTAGGACTATCAAATAGTTCGCAAATTCTCTGAATAGTAAAAGGTATTCTGACAAGAAAATCCTTCTATAATAATAACTTACCCATCAAGTCTTTTGAGAGTATTGAACACTCGCTGCCTAAGTTCACTTAAGTGAGGTGGGGTAGCTAACATTGAGTAATCTAAACCACTCCCTTCCGATATGAATGAGTCGACCACTTTGTTGTACTTATGTAGTAGCAATGGTTTTACATATATCCAAGGAAGCCTAATAAGTTAAACTGACAGGTGATGGAATTACCTTGTTTGTCCATTTCTGGATATCTGTCTGATGTAATCTTCGAGAATTGATGGTATAGACAGAGGTTTTTCCTGTTCAAAACCTATGATTTTTGGGTTTAACAAATGAAGACCATACACTTTAATGCGCAGAGAATGCCTTCCCCATTTTCCATTGGAAGGAGCGTCATGGGTCACAAGTGCCGCGGAATTGTTGGAATTTAAATGCTTCAAATGGTTGTGCACGGAATAGAAGAAGCTTTCGCTCAACGGGCTTCCGTGTCTAGTAGAAGTGGATCAACAATACCTCCAGGCAGGAACCCTGATATATTAACGATAATAGAGGAAAAAATAAATTGGTAAATCATAATAAGACGTTATCCTTAGTCCTTAAGAATTGACCAAGTTTCTTAATAAAGAACTCCCTGGAAGTCACTTGGACTAGCTCAGTTGGCAGCGAATTCCAGCAGTTGACAACTCTTAAGGAGTAGAAGCTATGTCTACAGTCTGTAGCGGTAAATAAATCCCCAAAATAAATAACTCTGTAAGTTTTCAACATTGGATGCCGACCATATGTTTTAGTGGACTCATCTAGCTGAAGGCGCTCGGTCATGCACCCGTACCAGATCACGCGTGGTAACGCTGTGCTCAACATTTACCGCAATCGCTAGCCAGGTTAGATCAGAGAATTCCGATATATTGGTTATCGCCAAATACACTCTTCCGATCTCCTCGACTCTGTCTTTTGATTTCTCTCGGTGGGTACAAATTATATTAGATGTCGCTGGTAAAAGCGTTGTCAAACACTGAATACCTGTGTCATTTTTATTGCTGAGACCGACGTGATCTGGTACACCTAATTGCGACTGTGAGTCTGTCCCTTTTTGGGATTTTTATATATTGTTGCCTTTTTTTAATTTTTATACATTGTGATATTTTTCCCCGTGTCTCAGGATATCTATATTTTTCCCTCGTATTCTCGCACCTAATATTCCCCTATGACCGAACAGACTCCTAAGGTATTTAAGATTAAGACCATGTCCCCGCCCTCGTTCCAGCTCATGCCCTTCTGGCCCGACAATATCGAAGCCTGGTTCTGCTACGCAGAAGCCCACTTCCACGAGCACGGCGTGATCGACACACGTGCACAATTCCTCGCAGTAGTCAAGGCACTACCACAGGAACGTAACACCTAGTATGTTTACTAGTGATGTTTCTGAACCTTACGAAACCTTAAAGCGTTCGATTCTTAAACGAGGAGACTTAACCGATCGACAAAGGTTAAATCAACTCTTTAATAACATAGACCTGCAGCACGGTTCTGCGACGGACATGTTGCAAAGGATGAGAGAGGTTATAAGCCTAAGAACTTTCGAAGAAGGTCTATTCAAACAACTTTTCTCGTCTAAACTTCCCTAAAAGGTGCAAGCGGTTCTGGTTTCGTGTCGAAACAACGCCTTAGACGAACTGGCTGCATCTGCCGATCGTATCTTAGAAATTACGAAATCTTCTACTACCGAGGTATTTTCAGTCAAAGAAAAGCCCCAAACGACTCAGAATGACATAACCTAATTATGTCATACACTTAGGCGTTATCTTAATTTTCGTAACGACCGTAAGCGATCGCACACCCCACGTAGAAGCATTTCTCGTAAGCGATCTGTCTCTAGACCACGAGAGATGGATAACCCCGACTGGTGCTGGTATCATAACCAATATGGAAAGTCTTCCAGAAATTGCAGAAAACCCTGCAATTTTACCAACTCAAATCCCACTGACTCGAAAAACAACTCGGGAAACTTCCAAGCCGGCACGCGTTAACGTCAACCGTAGCCGGCGAACATAGCCGTCCGTTGTACGTCACAGATGTGATAACGAGAGTTCACTACCTCGTCGATACTGGCGCAGAATTTAGCGTTCTCCCAGCGAATTCCAACGACCGACTTCACGAATCGACCCTAAACTTACAGACGGCAAACGGAAAACCTATTGCTACGTATGGCAAAAAGTACGTTTACCTTAACGTGTGTTTACGCAAACCCATTCACTAGATCTTCGTTGTTGCAGATGTTTCTGTGCCAATCATTGGTATGGACCTGTAGTGGCATTGGACAATAATCACACAATCCACAAAGCTGTGAACACGAGACTACTCAGAAAATAGATATTCAATATTTAACGCGGAGAAAGACCTAACAATGGAGAAGGCGCGAACAATGAATTGAATGGACTGGGGTTGATCGAGTGGCATGGCTCGGCCATGCAGGCGTGGTCCCTGCTGGATGTTATCCTATATCTCATTCATATTAAATATATTGTTCTTTCTCCAGCCTAACCTTGTTCTACACCATGTATTGGTAATTGATACGATACAGTGAGTTGGTGTAGTCGATTGTGTGACTTCCACGTAAGATCTTATAGATTAGGCAGTTATATCATGACGAATCTACAAATTTAGGATTAGGTCTATTATTAGAGCAGTACTAATATCATAGTAGACCGTAGTTCTACATTGGTGAGCCCAACTAAAGAAACGCAACCTATTATTATTAATCCTTATTTCCACTTCAACTTTCTCGATCGATTTTATATTTATGTTAACCCTGTATTCTAATAGTCCTCTGATTAATGCTCACATGCATTATCGTAATATTATATTGATTAGTCCTCATGACAAACTAGCTCAATCGATAATAAAAACTGGTCGTCTATATTAACTAATTAGCTTTGATGGTTTGTTAACAAGCTGTAATAGCATTTACATGCTTCAGCGACATAGTCTTGTTTAAACATCAAGCTCTAGCAAATATGACCTGTAAATAGCGTAAATATACATTGACTAACAATGCGATCAAGGACTAAATAGTTATCTGGATCTAATTCACAGTGTTCCTTCACTTAACACCTCATCCTGTTTTAAACGACGCACTATCCTGTAATATCTTTTCTTCTGACCACTGCCTGCCTAATTTCATATTCTCGAGTTCCATTGCCAAACAACGAGGATGACTACTCCAAAAACATACGGTGAGTTCCAGCTATAAGTTTTCTGCAATCATAAGTTCATTTTAGATGGCACACACAATTATCTGGATTCATTCAGTTGTTCTGATCAGAGCGAGTCCCAAAGACCTCAACAGCATCAAGCACCCTGGAAGTGATTGCCATACTGTATGTTTTATTCTGGATGCTTTTGGATCATTACTACTCCTCACGAATGGCGTTATATATGTCGTCCACTGAATAATCTAATTTTCAAAAATAACCCAGGCGAGTTCAACTATTTTACTGGATGATTTTTTTTACTTAACATGTATATGTTTTCCGGTCCCTTTTGCCATATATTTGTAAGTGTCCCTAGGCTAAATGCAGTAACTTCTTATGGAATGTTTATAACGCATCATATTCCTGCCTGAAGTTTCACAAGCAGTCTAAACTTTAAAACTATTTTCTGGTCATGTTCATTATTTTTAAATCGTCATATACGTCAACAACCTGCATGTTAACCTAGCCCATACATACGTTACACTATATCTCCATGTCTTCTAAATTTAGAAATCATCTGAATCGCCTTTAACATTTATCAATAAACCCATCATAGTCGTTGTTGCTAATCGTATTTGGGTTTATGGATTGGTTTATCATATTAGCAGCCTAAAATGCGAACATAGTTTAGATAATAAGATTAAAAATTCAGGTACTATCAACTGCACTAGTAAAATAACTAAATCCTCAGGTAGTTGTTGGCTAAACAAACGTTTAAAATAAAAACTCCGTAGCCTACTAGAATTAACACTAAACGAATCTTTCTGAATTAAAATTTATAATTAAATTAGGCGTCTCGGATTCTTTAACGTTATAAATTTCTGATAATTTCGAATCACCTAAAGCAACAATACCTATTTTTCTACTGACTAATCCTCAATCAACACCATAACTAGCTAAACATAATAGTTTCAGGATATCGTCATAAAGCATTGTCATGACTTGACAATCACGTAATATGATTGATAAAATTAATGAAACTATTAACAAAATCGGTCAGCAAATTGACTTACAATTATCACTAGTGTTGTTTTTCTTTTATCTTCATTCACTACAGATGATTACAGTATGTTTCTCTATCAGTTGCTTATTCAGTAAATATCTCAAAACCTTGTCAGTCTAATTGGAGGTTTAGCGACACAATCATGCATGCAAATAATCAGTATAAGCAGTCGAGCAAATCTCCTGCAAACTGAAAACATCAATGTCGAATTTACCCCAACACTGACTAAGGTTCAAGCCATTATCATAGACGTGAGTTGGGAGTGTACTCCCCTTGGTTACAACTTGTGTTCTCCCTGATAATCACATGAGCATCACTCACTGTTAATCATCTTGTAAAAGCTTATTTAGCCGAATACATCCTGCGGCACCACATCACTTCGTAATATGACACAGGCCTAACTGATTTTAATAACCTATAACCACTATATCTCAATTTAATCTTATTCCGCCTTATGATAAACTGCATACTTGCAACTAACTTGTATGCCCAATCAGCCAGCAAGTATAAATATAAATAAATAGTCTATTGCAGATCAGAACATTGAGTCCAGAGCATGTCTCTTACGAACACACTCGTGTTTAGCGATTTGTTCCTAGCTATCTGTCCAAAATTCATATAATTATCACTCACGTATTTAAATTTTATTTTGATAACCATTCATGTGTATTGGTAGTATTACTAAATTCTATCACGGTCAAGTAAAAATGAAGTTGAGAAAATCTCCCCGTAACTAAATAAACCGTATCAAACTAACTGGAACACTAGTTGGAATTCTTTACCATGGTAATACTTTTGTTCCTTCAGTTAGCCTACTGATACAGATGCAATTGGAAATCAACTCTTATGGACAACTTACCGGCATAATCGTTATCCGATTTCATAATTTAAACCAAAACTAATACCAATATTAACATTTCTACAATATTCATTATTTTAATATTTCTAAACACAAAATAATTACTACCTATAAGTTAAGTTATTAACACGCATCGTTTTATTATTATTATTATTATAATCTCATTTTTTATAGTTCAAATAATCTTCACCCAAATTTTCATTTCAAGCGTTTTAAGCATGAAGGCAGATATTTTAAGATTATTACATGTATTTCCCGACCAGATGCTGCCGCCTTCTTTTTGATTTATCTTTCAGCTTACCAATACCC